TCCTCCCTAATTACCACGCGGACGAAGACGCGGTCGAGATCACGAACCTCCACAATTCAGACCAATCGCTTGACTGCCGCGGGGCGTGAACTCGACAATCTTCCTACGGCGCGGGCCAAAACGAGGCCGAGTTCACGGCCCGTCCAAATTCAGACCACTCGTCGGAATTGCGCCGTTCCTACACTCAGCCTCTATCCTGCTGCGCTGTTGCGCATGCACGGTGGCGGGGTTTGCCGGAGGCAGCTGGATAAACTCTCGGAGGTTCACTGCACACCCACGCACGCTGGTGCCATTGCCCATGTGCCCACGGACACGCGGCGCGGCTTCAGGTGTGGCCTTGGCCCCACTGGCCGACTGACCCACCCAGCTGGGAACATGCGATCCAGGGCTCCCGCACCCCCCCCCCCAATGCTAATGGGATCGCACCCCCTCCGGCTGCATGAGCACGCCCGTGAGATGGCCTCGCGAATGGGATCGCCTTCCCATGTGGGCGCGGCGTGGTGGGGGGTGCCGGAGCCTCCCCCTCCCCATGTTGGGTGTAGGGTGGTTTGTCGTTGTCGGTTCGTCGTCGTCGTCGTCGCCGTCGTCATCGTCGTTGTCGCCGTCGCCGCCGCCGTCGTCGTCGCCGTCGCCGTCGCCGCCGTCGCTCCACCCCCCATCGCATCTGCGGGGGGGGGGGCTTTGGAACCCTGGGACCCATCCCATCTGGGGGAGGGCTGTGAATCCTCAACCCAGGATCATATATGCCTGTCCCTTCGGGTTCTGCGGAGCCTATCCCCACCTGGGAGGGTGGGCTGGCGGGGCTGAAATGCCATGGACCAACGGGGATGGGGACTGGGATGGGTTGGACGATGCTGATCAGAAGATCCTGGAGGTCTCGCGCGGCAACCTGAGGCCCAGTTTACGTCGGGTCCACGACGGACTTGCGTCGGGCTCACGTCGGACTGCGTCGGATTGACGTTGGATTTACGTCGGACTCACGTCGGAGCATCGCCGCGCGAACGTCGTCCCGTATCCAAAGGGGCGGTCATGTGGACTAGACTATACAACTATTGAGAGCCGCGCGAGGCCTCCATGATTTTCCTCATTGGGGAGAAGCCCCTACAGGGCCGCGCCGCAACAGCGTCGAACCCCTGTCGAAGACGTCGAATCTCCGTGCCGAATCCGCGCCGACCTCACGCCGAGTCCGTGCCCGACCCGCGCCGAAGTGCGGGAGAGGACTGCCGCTCACGGGACAAACGGGAGGAGGAGGAGGAGGAGGAGGAGGAGGAGGAGGCGGAGGAGGAGGAGGAGGAGGAGGAGGAGGAGGAGGAGGAGGAGGAGGAGAGGAGAGGAGGACGCGGGGACCAGCACTCCTCCCCCGAAGACGCAGAGCAGCGCGAGGCCGAGGGGGCCCCCCAGACAGGGGGGGCCTGCACGAGCGTGTGGTCCCCGCCCGGGTCCAGCGCGCCCGCGGGCACCCGGGCGCCGCGGCTCTCGGGCTCGGCGGGGTCGTCGAAGACCCACACGCCGGCGGGGGCGGCCGGCCGCCACCTCTCGGAGTAGGCGGAGGAGGAATGGGAGGAGGAGGAGGAGGAGGAGGAGGAGGAGGAGGAGGAGGAGGAGGAGGAGGAGGAGGAGGAGGAGGAGGAGGAGGAGGGGAGGAGGAGGAAGGAGGAGGAGGAGGAGGAGGAGGAGGAGGAGGAGGAGGAGGAGGAGGAGGAGGAGGAGGAGGAGGAGGAGGAGGAGGAGGAGGAGGAGGAGGAGGAGGAGGAGGAGGAGGAGGAGGAGGAGGAGGAGGAGGAGGAGGAGGAGGAGGGGGGGGGGGCGCAGAGGCGGGGCGCCCACGAGGGACGATCGGCAGGGTCGCGTCGCCGTGACGCCGTCTCTGACACCCCGTGGGTCGTTCCACCTCGAAGGATCATGGCTCTCTGATGGGACAGATCGTTCGCTAGTGGCCGATTCTGGGCCGCTGGCGGCGTTCCGACTTGAGCGCCCTCACTGGGGTCGTCACCACCGCGGCGACGCGGCGCGAACCTACCGTACGCGCCAAGTCACAGCCCTCCCAGGTGCAGCCTGGGAGCGATTCTGGTATTGGTGTCGCTTTCATCCTCTTCATCCTCCACCTCCCTCTCCTCCTCCGTCATCCTCCTCCCCTCCTTTTCCTCCTCGTCCTCCTTCTCCTTTTTGACGTTAGACCAACTAGAGGTGGCAGGCTGGAGCATGCATGGGTGCAAGAAACACGACTTAACGCTGCGGTAAAGGCAAAGGCCGCGGACGGGTGCAGAAAAAAACAGGCTATGAGGCAGGCGAAAAATAGCAGCCCAAGAGGGCGAGAGTAATCCGGTCGGCGGCACGAGGAGGTGAGGGCTACCAGTCCAAGCTTACATAACATGTAGAGGGAGGTACCGAACGAGGGAGACTAGCTACAGCTGCAGGTGGTCCGGTTGGAAAGACTTCCCGCCTCCTCCCGCAAGTAAAAGGAGTGAATTGTCACCACGCATAGCTAACAGGCGACACGTAGTGAGAGGCTGCCCTGTGTCTCCTGTCCCCCACCCGTCCTACCCATACGATAAGGATAATCACCACATCCCCCCATCTTTTAATCCAGGCCAGCTGTGCCAATGCAGAAAGAGAGAAGTAGAGCGAAGCAGATAAGACAGACTGGACCCTCAAAGAGCAAAGAGCGAGTGCACAGCGAGCACGAAAGTCGGGATGGGCTGGCACAGTCTGGGCTGGCTGGCCCTGCTTCTCTGCAGGCGCAAGCTGGCGAATGGGAGGTAGCGCATGGCAAGCTAAGCGCACTCGGCGTGATAACTCGTGGAGACGAGGCCCTGCAGAATCTCTCGCCCCCCACTTGGCCCATCAGACCCTGCAACGAGGCCCCACCACCCGAACCTATATCTCTAAGCCGGCAGCGCCAGGCCCAGTCACAGTCACAGTGCTGTAAGCAATGAGGGTGACTAATGTCCTCCTCCTCCTCGTGCAATTTCTCCTCCTCCTCCTCCTTCTGTTCCTCCTCATCATGTTCCTCCTCCTCCTCCTCCTCCTCCTCCTCGTGTTCCTCCTCCTCCTCCTCCACCTCCTCATCCTCCTCGGGCAGGGGTACGGGGAGAATCGCTCCAAGCGGCCCCTGGGAGAGGGAAACATGAACACTCGGCCAGACTCGCTCCCTGGACCCCATCTTTGCGGTGGAACGCTCAGGGGGGGAGAGGCTCAGGGGGGAAGCCTCGACCTGGGACCCGTGATAGTCACACTGCCAGTCGGCGACGGGCCGCCGACGCCGAAACCGCACGCTCCCGGGCGGGACGGGCTCTCGGGCCCCAGATCGGCGAAGAGTGGGCAAGGGAGGGAGGGAGGGAGGGAGGGAGGGAGGGAGGGGAGGGAGGGAGGGAGAGGGAGGGAGGGAGGGAGGGAGGGAGGGAGGGAGGGAGGAGGAGGAGGAGGAGGAGGAGAGGAGGGAGGGAGGAGGAGGAGGAGGAGGAGGGAGGAGGAGGGAGGAGGAGGGAGGAGGAGGAAGGAGGAGGAGGAGGAGGAGGAGGAGAGGAGGAGGAGGAGCAGGAGGAGGAGGAGGATTGGGGGTCGATGCATCCCCCACTTGAGCCTACAGTCGTCGTGCTACCACAGGGAGCGCCGAGCAAGGCACGAACGCGCTCTTCTGGCCGCGGCCGGCCTCGGCCACGAGCGGGCTCCCCGGACGGCAGTCGAGGGAGCGGCCCGAGCACAGGAGCTCCTCCTCCTCCTCCTGCTCCCCCCCTCCCCCCTCCTCCCTCCTCCTCTCTCCTCCTCCTCCTCCTCCTCCTCCTCCTCCTCCTCCCCCTCCTCCTCCTCCTCCGACAGGGTGATCCTTGCCTCAGCGTGCTGACAGCACACCCCCTGACGTTGCCACCGGCACCCCCAGCTGCGAGGAGGGGGCAACGAGGGGCGGGCTGGCACGGGGGAGAGCGCATCGACCCGGAAGCGGCAGCACCTCGCCGACAGAGAGCGGCGAGGGGCCCCCGCGAGAACGAGTCCCCACGACTCCTGGGCAGGTCGGGGCCCTCGGGCCCCTCTCGGCGCTCCGTGGGCGATTGGGCGATTGGGGGCAGAGGTCGGGGGGCTATCGGGCCCCCGTCGTTGCCCCCGGCCCCCCATCTGCGAGCCACCGACACCTCTTCGGCGTGGAGACCGGCGGCAGGCACCGCTCGTGAGGCATGGGCGGGCGCGCCGCCGCAGCGGCGCGGACGGGAGAGGCCTCGGCGCCACGGCCTGGGGGCAGGGAGATCTGGCTCGCCCAGGGGCGTCGCTCGCGGGAGCGGGCCCCTCCTTGAGAGGTCGTGGCGGCGCCTGCTGCCGCGGCACCCCAGAGGAGGGATGGGGAGGGGCGCGGGAGGATGGAGGGAGGAGGGGGAAGGGAGGAGGGACAAGGGGGGGACGAAGCACGAGGGATGAACGAGGGAGGGACGGGGGAGGGACGAGGGACCAGGGAGGGACGAAGGGAAGAGGGAGGGACGAGGGAGGGACGAAGGAGGAAGGAGGAGGGGGGAGGCGAGTGGCAGGAGGAGGGCGGGAGGGAGGCAGGAGGCATGAGGGGAGGAGGCAGAAGGCAGGAGAGAGAAGGGGAAGCGAGCGGGAAGAGGGAGGAGTGAGGAGTGAGGATGGATGAGGGATGAGGGATGAGGGATCGATGGATGGATGAAGGTCATCCCACCGAGGTGACATGTTGATGCTGCGGGCACAGCGGGCGTCCGACAGCTCAGCAGCCCAGCAACGCCGAGCCAACGAGGGGCGTGCCCTCTCGAAAGGGGGCGCGGTGCGGGAGGGGGAGGTGGAGAGGGCGCGGGGCGGCAGGGGGATGAGGGATAGCCGACAAAGGAGGGAGGACCGAGGAGGCAAGAGGCAGGAGGGAGGCAGAAGAAGGGGGGGGGGAAGAGGAGGCAGGAGAGGATGGGGGAGGAGGGAGAAAGGAGGAGCAAGGGAGGGAGGGAAAAAAGGAGAAGGGAGGAGGACGAGACAGAGAGAGAAGGAGAGAGGTGTGATGAGGGTGGAGAGGGAGGAGGAGACCTTGATAGGAACTCCAGACCCAATTATGTAGAGTCGCCTGGCGTGCAGGGGGGACTTCTCACCTCCGCGCATCCTGAAACATCCAGTGCCATGGTGATGCTCAAGACATGTACTGCAGACTTGCACTCAAACTGTGCGCGTTGATACAGCATTCGCAGCCCAATGCCGAACCCGTTTCGACAGTTCTGCTTTTGTGCAACAGACTGCTTGATAGAACCTTGCCTGGTCAACATAGTGACCAGTCTGAGACAAGCGAAACCTGAAACCTGGCCTCGGCATGGGAACTCGCTGTGGCGATCGGCCCCCGTCGTGTGAATACATAACGAGCCTGGCGCGCTTGGCAAGAGCACGACGAAGAACGGACGCTGGAGGCGTTCTACGAATCAATGCACCAAAGCACTGCGTGATAAGATGCGACCTCGTATGGCATGCTCACATCCGTAGGCGATGAGTCTTAGCGCAGCGTAACGACTGAACTCGTTGCATAATGGTACATGGCTGCAACCTGACACGACTGCCAAATGCAGTCCCTGCGCTACGGGTGCACGGACGACCAGAGGGGGCGTCGCGCGTGCGCCTCCGCGCAGGAACAGAGCACGGCCCCACTCTGTGTTGAAGCCTGCCCCGAATTCGGTCGTGCCCTTGCAGACTCGGGCGACGGATCGCAGCTGCAGGCCCGAATTGACAAACAACTAGCAGCCCCCGTGGCGCGGCAGGCCCGCCGCGCGCGGGGACAGGTGGAGTGCGGAGTAGTCCCCGTCGTCTCGGAGGGCGGTCTCCACATCCTCGAGGGCAGAAGAGAGCTGGGCCAAGCAACCCCTCAACATGGGGGGGGGCGGGGGGGCAGCACGGACAGGGGCACGGGGAGCATCCCCCAGGAGGTGTCGCATCGGCATGCTCCTGGTCTTGCTCCTGGGGTCGCTTCTTCCTCCTCCCCCTCCTCCTCCTCCTCCTCCTCCTCCTCCTCCTCCTCCTCCCTCCTCCTCCTCCTCCTCCTCCTTTTCCTCCTCCTCCTCTCCTCCTCCTCCTCTCCTCCTCCTCCTCCTCCTCCTTCCCCTCCGCATCCACTTCCGCCAACTTCTTATCGTCGTCATTCCTCCTTCCTCATGCCCCTCCTCTTCCACCTCCTCCTCCGCCCTTGATCTCGCCCCATAATCCTTGCAGATCATCTCCTGGGACTTGACGAAACTGTTGATCTCGTCGTGGAACACGCGTTTCTTCTCCTCGAAGCGCTCCATGGCCCGCGAGATCATCTCCTCGAGTTCCTTCTTCTCGTCAGCCGCCAGCTGTTTCTCCTCGCCCACCCGACCTTTCCCGACTCCCCCCGCGTCAATTATCCTCATCATCCTCCCGGTGTCTCCACAGAACCCTCATCGGCCAAGGAGACATGGTGGTAGAAAAGACTGGGACTACACAGGCATGATGTGAAGCAACCGGAAGGAGGGGTGCTGTAGACACACCAATATACACACAGACACCTGTTCGCACTCGGATACATATGTATGATACACATCATACATATAATACATATAGAAATATATGCACAATTGCGGGTGAATGCGGAAATATGGATGTATACTTGAATACGAATCTGCATGTGTATATATATATATATATATATATGTGTGTGTGCGTGCCACTAGCTATCAATATATGTATGTATCTGTACATATGTATCTATATATATATATAGAGAGAGAAACACAGAGAGAGAGCAAAACACATAATCACAGCAATAAATGATTCACTGCGTGGAGCTCCCCCTATGTGCATCTATTCGCATGGACCTGTCCGCCGTGAATATCTAGGCGCAAGGGCTTTCGAATATAAACGGGCTTCAGTTGTGACGGTCTGGTCATGAATCTAACTGAGAATGAATTAGAGTATGAATGAGCCTCAGTAGTACGAGCGCGTCTCTGCGCATGAGCCTGGGTGCTCCTGGGGCTCCTGGGGCGCCTGAAACCTACTGGGGCTTCCTGGAGCCTCCAGGAGCCTCTTGGGGCCTCCTGGGGCCTCCTGGGGCCTCCTGGGACCTCCTAGGGAGGATTCGTGCCCCAGGAAAGGCCCAATCTGTAGCAACAGACGTACAGAAAATATCGCGGATTGTTGCCACAGGAGAAGGGGGCAATCTATAGGAACACACGTAAAACACCAAGGATTCGTGCCCCAGGAGAGGCCCTATAGGAACATAAGTACACAGGAGAAGGACAATCTATAGAAACATACGTATAACATCAAGGATTCGTGCTCCAGGGGAGGCCCAATCTATAGGAGCATACGTAAAGCACATGGGATTGGAGCTACTCCTGTTGCCTTCTGAGGCCTCCTGCTCCTGGGGCCTCTCGGGGCCTCCCGTTGCCTTCCGAAGCCTCCTGGCGCTTCCTCTGGCCTCCCGGGGCCTCCTGTGGCTTCCTGAGGCCTCCCGGAGCTTCCTGGGGCCTCCTAGAGCCTCTTGGGACATCCTGTGGCCTCTTGGGTCTTTCTGTGGCCTCCTGATGCCTCCTGGGACCTCATGTGGTCTCCTGGGGCCTCCTGGAGCCTGTTGGAGCCTCCTGGGGCATCCTGAAGAGAATCTGTGCCCACGAGTCTAGCCACCGATCAACACATCCTCAAAATCTGGCCCACCTGTGGGTGAAAATGAGCGCCTCGCTCGAGGCATCCTCCAAATCTGCTCCGAAAGCGAGGGATGTTGGGACAGAAAACAAGCAAACCGCTTGGGACATCCCCACGAAACGGCCGCGAACGGGACCGTGAGATAACCCCTGGCGGCGCCCCTTACGGGGGTGAAAATGAGCGCCTCGCTCGAGACATCCTCCAAATCTGCTCCGAAAGCGAAGGATGTTGGGACAGAAAGCAGGCAAGCCGCTCAAGACATCCCCACAAAACGGCCGCGAACGGGACCGTGAGATAACCCCTGGCGGCTCCCCTTAGGGGGGTGAAAATGAGCGCCTCGCTCGAGACATCCTCAAAATCTGTTCCGAAAACGAAGGATGTTGGGACAGAAAACAAGCAAACCGCTTGAGACATCCCCACAAAACGGCCGCGAACGGGACCGTGAAATAACCCCTGGCGGCTCCCCTTACGGGGGTGAAAATGAGCGCCTCGCTCGAGGCATCCTCCAAATCTGCTCCGAAAGCGAGGGATGTTGGGACAGAAAACAAGCAAACCGCTTGAGACATCCCCACAAAACGGCCGCGAACGGGACCGTGAGATAACCCCTGGCGGCTCTCCTTAGGGGGGGGGAATGAGCGCCTCGCTCGAGACATCCTCCAAATCTGCTCCGAAAGCGAAGGATGTTGGGACAGAACACAAGCAAGCCGCTTGAGACATCCCCACAAAACGGCCGCGAACGGGACCGTGAGATAACCCCTGGCGGCTCCCCTTAAGGGGGGAGCTGAAACCAGTGCCGCGCCTGAGACATCCTCACGATCTGCTCTGGTAGCCAAAGATGTTGGGACAAGCAAACCGCTTGAGGCATCCCCACAAAACGGCCACGAACGGGGCGTGCGTGAATCTCACCATGAGTAAGTCTGGGTAGGAGTAGGTCTGAGTATAAAGTAGGTATGAGTAAGAGTAATTATGTGTGTGTGCGTAAATCTGGGTATGAGTAAGTCTGATTGTGAGTCAGTCTGTGTATGAGTAAGTCTGGGTATGAGGAGGAGAGGGGAGGAGAAGGAGAAGAAGGCATGAGGTGTAGGAGGCGTCCACGTAATAACAAGAACCCCATCTTCGGAGATGGGAAACACCAAAAAAATAGCCTGGCGAAGTACCCAACCATATGCAGTTGTGAGTAACGCAGTTGTGAATAGCATCTTCGGTGGAGCTCCCTATGGGGCCACGAGACGTGTGAGGGGTGTGCCGAAGTGGGTGGGGGTGACGCATGTGGACGGTGGCATTTGGGCCTTCGGTGGGGCTCCCTATGGGGCCACGAGACGTGTGAGGGGTGTGCCGAATTGGGTGCGGGTGACGCATGTGGACGGTGGCATTTGGGCCGTCGGTGGGGCTCCCTATGGGGCCACGAAACGTGTGAGGGGTGTGCCGAAGTGGGTGGGGGTGACGCATGGGGACGGTGGCACTGGGGCCTTCGATGGAGCTCCCTATGGGGCCACGAAACGTGTGAGGGAGGGGTGTGCCGAAGTGGGCGGGGGTGACGCATGTGGACGGTGGCACTGGGGCATTCGGTGGAGCTCCGTATGGGGCCACGAAACGTGTGAGGGGTGTGCCGAAGTGGGTGGGGGTGACGCATGTGGACGGTGGCACCGGGGCCTTCGGTGGAGCTCCGTATGGGGCCACGAAACGTGTGAGGGGTGTGCCGAATTGAGTGGGGGTGACGCATGTGGACCGTGGCACGGGAGCCTTCGGTGGGGCTCCCTATGGGGCCACGAAACGTGTGAAGGGTGTGCCGAAGTGGGTGGGGGTGACGCATGGGGACGGTGGCACTGGGGCCTTCGATGGAGCTCCCTACGGGGCCACGAAACGTGTGAGGGGTGTGCCGAAGTGGGTGCGGGTGACGCATGTGGACGGTGGCACTTGGGCCTTCGGTGGGACTCCATATGGGGCCACGAAACGTGTGAGGGGTGTGCCGAATTGGGTGGGGGTGACGCATGTGGACGGTGGCACTGGGGCCTTCGGTGGAGCTCCCTATGGGGCCACGAAACGTGTGAGGGGTATGCCGAAGTGGGCGGGGGTGACGCATGTGGACGGTGGCACTGGGGCCTTCGGTGGAGCTCCCCATGGGGCCACGAAACGTGTGAGGGGTGCGCCGAAGGGGGTGTGGCTGACGCATGCGATGATGGTGATGATGAGTGCCATGATGATGATGACGACGACGATGATGATGGTGGGAGGAGGGAGGAGGGAGGAGGAGGGGGAGGAGAGGAGAGGAGGAGGAACGCGGGGCACCGTCTCTTCAAAACGAGGACCCAACACCACAGGATGGTTGGGAAAAAACCTTACACTAAAGGAGTATACGCAGGATACGAGGAAGATGGGAAAGGGGCAGAAAGAGATAAAGAGGCAAAGACAAAAGAGCAGCGGGAAAAAGAGATACGCGCAGCGGCCAGCGACGCTGCCCGCGCGCACGGAATCGAAGTCGCCAGCGATGCTCGCCGCGAAGCCGCCGACAGGGCTGCCGACCACGCCACGGACGAGGTAGCCAGCCACGCCGAGTTCCTCGGCACCACGAGCGAAGCAAGGGGGTCGGACGCTCCAGCCCTGTCCGCTTGTAGACTGCAGAGCCTGACGCCAGACTGGCAGGCCCTCAATGAGTAATAGTACGGCTGGTCCGCCAACAGCGCGGCCCCGCAGAACCCCAGCTCTCAACCAACAGGCGCCCTGGCGGAGGCAAAGGCGTGGAAAAGTCCGCTCGGGCACGACGCCCCGCGCGCAGCGATGAAGGCACCGCGCGCGACCGCAGCTGTCGGCGAGAGGGCTCGAAACCAATAAGAGTCCGGACGCTGAGACTTAACCCCAGAGGCCGGCCAACTCGCGGACGGTCCGAAGGCCGATGCCTGACCCTGCACCAATGATGATCCCGCTGCGCCGGGTCCGCCCCCAAGGCTGGCCCCTCGCGGCCGCCCCTCGCAAGGCCTCGGCCTTGGCCCAACACGGCCCGCGCTGCCGGGGGCGCGCCCCCGCGGCCTGCCCCCTCGCGGCCACCGCCCGCAAGGCCCTGGCCCGTTACCGCCGGGGGCCCCGCAAAGGCTGATCAGCGGCAAAGACGCGGGCACGCTCGGTTACAGGTGGACAGGCAATCGAGCGGACCCACGCAATGTCGCGGCGGCCCCCCTTCTGGCCGCCGCCCGCGAACTGCCAGGGCCGCGGTCAACGCCGCGGGGCCCAGGAGAGCTGGACCCTCGTCGAGCTCTGCACCTTCGCAGGCCCCAGCCCGTCGGCCGATCGGCGCGCCGGCCCAGCGTTGATTCTCGAAGCGCGAGCTGCTGCTACCGCTGGCACCCCTGAGCCAACGCCGTCCCTGACGGCGCACGTGGGGTCGCACCTCTGCGAGGGCGTCGCGGTGCACGTCGGCGCTGGCGGCGTCGCGCAGGGGCTGATCCTGGCGCACCGCCCGCTCGGCCCCGCGACTCGCGGCCCAGCAGCCCCTCGGCGCCGACCGCAGCACAGCCTGGGTCGACGCAGGGCCCCAGCTGCCGAACCTACTCCAGCCTCGGCATTCGCAGGCCCGCTCGCCATCACGCTCGACGATGACGCAGTCGAGGACGGGGGCGGCGATGTCGGACGCGGCGCTAGCGCCTACGTCGGCGCACTCCCCGCGCGACCGCCCGCATTGCCACTG